AGAGTAATATAAAACTAATCATAAGATCTCATCTAATAATTAAAATTTTTAAGTTAGGATACTTATATTGTTTTAGAGTTTTACCGACCAAACAATTATGAATTCAAATCTCACTATCTCCTATCAAATTCAATCAAACTATCATAAGTTGGAGTCTTATTATTGAATCTCATGCTATTTTCTCTTTCTCTTCTAATTAAAATTTGCTAAGCAAATAGTTACAAGTTCGAATCTTACTATCCTCTCTTTCTCTCACTAACCCTTATTTATCTTCTAATTAATACAAGTATAATGATTGCTAACTTGTTTAAGTTATTTAAAAAATCAAAGAGGATAATCTCTTTAGAGTAGATTAGTAATATATATAAAAGATATATAATATGCTCATCTTATATATATGTCTTAAAATTTTCAAAATTATTGTATCATTGTGTTAGAGAGTATATTTCATATTAAATAATTAAACAAAAAATAAATAATACGAAAAATTGAGAAGAAGCCACCTACCATAAAACTTAAGTCTTTTGGATGAAACTAATCTTAACTATCTAACTTTATATAGTACCAAAACCTTAAAGAGATTCAACAATCTAGTAATGATCTTGGAGTTAGGCCATTTGATAGACCTCAAAAGATGGGCTACAAATGAAAAGCTCAAACCACTTGACAGATCTCAAAAGTTAGGTTACAAGTAAGAGAGAGTGTTAAAGAATGTATCTTACATTGAATAGTTAAATAATAAATAAATAATATATAAATTTGAGAAAGCGTCATCTACCATAAGACTTAAGTCTTTTGGATAAAATTTAATCTCAACTATCTAACTCTATATGGTATCGAGTCTCAAAGAGACTCGTAAGCCACCCGACATATCCTAAAAGACGGACTACAAGTAAGAGAGGGTGTTAGAGATCATATCACATATTGACTAGTTAAATCATAGATAATTAATATATAAAGTTGAGAAGAGACCATCCACTATATAGCTCTAACACTATATATGGTTAGATATTTGAGATTGGCTTCTATCCATGTGATATCATATACGCTTAGATAGTTAAGATTAGGTTCCATCCAAAAAACTTAAACCTTATGATGGGTGACCTCACCCCTTCTCAACTTTATATATTAATTATCTTTGGTTTAACTATTGAACGTGGGATATGCTCTTTAATAAACTATATTCGTATTTTGTTGTATGGATTTTCCTATTCATGCCTCATAGATTAAAGGTTAAGATAATCTATATTTCACCTTTCAAATTCCCTATTATTGTAGTTTTTTTGTGCCAAAACATTGAAACAATAGGTAGTAACAACTCTTTCAAAAACTCACATGCATACACAAACATGTTTAGCCTATCAGTTGTCTATCCAAATAGATTCTTTAGTAAAGTAAAGTTTTAGTTCCAATTATTCCAATTTTTTTTTTTTTTTTTGATAATTATGTAATGGGAGAGAACTAGTATTATTATGTATGTAGCGCAAAGCTGATAGACCTCTTGATGAATTAAAAAAAAAAAAAAAAAGAAGTATTAGAAAGAAGATGTGAAAAGCTGGTTGCAGTATTCGTCGGCGTTTAAAAAAACTCACATATAGAAGTTTTTTTGATATTTAATTACCATATAAGTTAGCTATTAGTTTTTTTTTTTTTTTTTTTAATATAATAAGTTAGCTATTACTTGAAAGAAAGGCAAACGGCATGTATTAGTTGTCATGATAGTGCATTAGCATTAAACACAGTAATTTACTAACATCTAAAGGCTACTACCACAGTTGGCAATTTATAAAGCAGAGAACTGGTCAATGGGCATGGAACAAGTTCCTTTGTCCTAATTATGGTAGGCAATTTTGGCCCACCATGTGGATAGCTAGGAGCTCCATCTTGATCTTGTTTTCCAGAAACTCACTCAATGTGACAAAGCGACAAGCAGAAACAGTTCTCCTCCGTTGACTTCATACCCCTCCCGGACGTAAATATGAATATATTGAAAAATTAATTTTATTTTTTCAATTTATAAATACGTTGTCCAATTTATTAAATTGTACACTACAAATGAATATATTAAAAAAGTATACAAAGAGTACAAAATCGTACAGATCTCTAACTTGACAAGAATCTAATACAGAATTAGGCTATACTATAACTTAATTGAACTATACTGAACTTGTAAAGGATAGTCATACCACCATATCTAACTCTGATAATTAACTAGAAGCATTAATTTTTTATAAATATTACAGGTTGAATGAAGGACTTGTTATGTGTGTAAACAATTCCTTTAATTTGTAATTTTTGTATTCAACGGTAAATGTATTTTTGAGTCGGCTTATGCATCAATCAAAGCTGAATCTCTTCTTAGAAAGATTTGAAGGATGCACTCTCCATAGGTCTTACACATACAAGAAAAAAAAAGTGTTGATCTCAAAGTTTGAACTTAAAAAATCAAGTAAGAAAACACTTTCTTGATCACCAAACCAACTATTTAGAAGGTAATTAATTACAAAATATATATATATATATATATATAGTGTATGTTAAGAGAAAAAAACAATCTTAAGAATACATCCTCCACATCGGTCATGTATATTCGGAGGAAATAATTCCTTTTAATATTTATCTTAATATTTGAATTCAAAAAGTTAAGTGATTCTTTCCTTATTCACCAGATCAACCTTTTGGAAGGTAATTGATATCTAAAAATTACTATAATTGATTGTAGTTTCAACAAAATAATTTTATTATTTTAATCATAGTTATTAGACGTTGTTCGTGGCCTGACCTGTTTAAGGTCGTCATTGGTTAACGGTCGATCCAACTAGCCGAATTTGACATAATTACTTGCTCCTATATTAACCTTTTTAATATGAGGTTTAAGGCAACTTTTCAATTTGATTGCTTTTACTACGTGGGCGGCATGCACCTTGTTATTGAACTTTTGAAAAGATTGATTAAAAAAAAATTCGATATAGTTCATTGTACAAATGCTAAGCAAGATTAATGACATATTTCATCCCTCAATTTTTTTAAAAAATTTATTGTAGTCCTTTTATTTTATTTTTTATCACACCCCTCCCCTCTAAATATTTTCTTAACATGGTTCTTTTGATGAGATTTCATCCAACTTTTCAATAACAATTGATATATGGCATTACATGTAAGATAAAAGTGATATGTCATCTGACATTGAGACGGGGCAAAAAAGAAAGAAAACAATAAAAACCAATATATATATATATATATATATATATATATATATAAGGGAACTATAAGAGAAAAGGAAGGAAAACAGAAAGAAAAATATATTTAGGTATGAAAAGATATAGTAAATTATAAATCAATCTTTTTATTTCAGGAAATGAATTAATTAATCTATTTTGTTTTAAAAATTAATAATTTAATTCATAGAACAATATTGACCATGCTTAGTTACATATTGTTTTATTTAAAAAAAATGATATTTTTTCTCGTCAATCCTTTTACATTTATTTTTACTTTTTACTTTTTCTATTTCTTTTTTTTAATCAAATAAATTGAAAGGAAAAAAAAGAATTAAGTTACAAGAAAAATTAAAAATACAAAAATTAAATAATTAGTTTTTAAAATAAAAGGGACTTATTAATTCATTTTTCAAAACTAGAGAGATTAATTTATGATTTACTCCATTAAAAACCAACATAAAATCAGTCAATAATAATAATAATAATAATAATAATAACCAATCCAAACCCTAATATTAAAAAACTCCCATCATTGCCTCTTCTTCAACTTTTTATTAATATTTTTTTAATGAACTTCAACTTTTTTTAGTAGTTTTTCTCATAAAAAGAAAAGAAAAAAAATGTTTCTCCAATAATTTGAGGCATTATATAATTGATCCCTGCCAATATTAACCAAAAATTTAAGGTTCTTCAAATCATGCTTAAATGGATATATCATCAATATTTGTAATGTTGATATTTGAAAAATTTTATAATATTTCAGACCTAATTATAAACAAATAATCTATTATTAAAAGAGCTAGATACAAAGAAATCACGTTGAGAATTAGATTGGGAACTCGAACTTTATTTGAGAGGACTAATTTCTAGAACATTGAAAACCCAACATGAGAAAGGTCATTTATTTCATTGATTTTTTGTACTTTCTTAACATGTCCAAAACAAGAAATTTCCAACTTTATGTATCTTCTAGTTGCTTCTATTCTACTTGATAGGAATCCAATAGCGAATTAGATTATACAATACCCGATCTGAATTAGACACAACTTGTAAATGATAGTCCAACTACCATATCCAGCTGCGATAATTAACTAGAACTATTAATTTATTATAAATATCACAAGTTGATTTAATTAAGGACATGTTCTGCGGGTAAAAATTCCTTCAATTTGTAAATTTTTCTTTTTTATTCAATAATAAAAATATTTTCAAGTCAAGTTATACATTTATTATAATTATTTTTTTTTAGAAAGATTTTAAAAATGCATTGTTAAATATCACATCGTCCTTGTATACTTAGAGGAAATAAATTAATTTCCCTGATACTAACCCAATCCTTGAACTCAAGAGATCGATCAAGAAAGGAAACACTTCCTTGATCGCGAAGCCAACAATTTGAAAGGTAATTGGTACCAAAAAATGACTATAACGATAATATATAAAATATAATTGATTGTGAACGTTGTAATTTCAACAAAATAATTTTATTATTTTATTAGTTTGTGGCCTGAGCTGGTTAAGATCGTTGGTCAAACCAATATGCTAACGTTGAACTGAAGGGCCATATGGTAATTTAAAAATTTATTAAATTTGAAAGAAATCATTTTTTTTAATCTTTAAATTAACCTGGCATGGTAATAGCTATGGCAATTGGGTTAGTTGAGTTAATTTATTAACTGGATTAAAGTTAGTCAAATATTTTTAAATTAATTTTTATATTAATTGAAACTATATATATAATTTTTCGAACTAAACCAGCATTAGAAAATTGAAGCCGAATCACTTGGGTTTAACCAAATCAATTCCAAAAATCAACGTAGCCCAGTATTTTACCAGACGAATTTGATTACAGGCGGTGCATGCACTTTGATTCTTCAAGCTTTTAACAGGAAGAAAACTTTGAGATTAAATTAATATAAAAACAATAACAAAAACAAGAACATGTGTAGTAAAAGAAACTTGCAGGAAGAAAAATAATTAATTAGAAGAGATATAAATTATAAGTTTAATTACCTGGACAGCAGCAAGATATTCTCCAATGAGTATGTGCCAGAAAGAGAGGGAGAGATCTAGAGCTTCTGGCTCCATATATGGTTTTGGAGAAGGAGAGATTCGGTAGATAGAGAAGCAGAATACACGGTAGCAAAGAGTTCAAACAAAATCAAAATGCAGGGTCAACGATGTCCTTCAGAAGACTTTAAGCAAGATCCATCGACACGTTGCTCTTCCAGCTATCTGAAGACATGTTTGATTTTTTTTTTTAGGAGACTTACAATTCGTTTACTTATTAATTATTTAATCTAATTATTTAAATAAAATCTTAAATTAAATATTTATTAAATAAATAAATATCAAAATTCAGAAATTTGAAATATTAAATTTTAACTAGGCATAATATATATATAAAAAGACTGATTTATCGAGGGAATTGGCTAAAAATAAGGCTATTGAGTCTATTGGGTCTAGTGGGCCTTCTGTTTATTGGGTCAGGCCCCATTAGGCTGGCCTCCTAGGCAGGTCTGTTCCTCCTTCTGCACTGGGCTAAGCCCAGCCTACTTCCACGGGCCCGTCTCCTTGCACAGGCTGGGTTAGGCCTAGCCCCTCTCTTTTCTCAACAACTTACCCTGAGTGAAGCTTGACGAACTGGTTAATGTTGTTGTGTTGATCTTCTCTGTTGCAGGTGATTGGCAAATTGCATTTGTGGGGTGGTGCAGCCTGGAGATTGAGGGGGTGCTTTGTTGTGGGTGATTGTGGTTTCTGGCAGTCCGGTGGAGGGATGAGGGTAATGGGAGCTGTGCGGGTAGGAGGTGGCTATGGATGATGGTTTTGGGAGGTATGTATGCTAGGTGTTTGTGTTTTTGCACTCCACTCTAGGCTTCAAAATCACCCGTAAGTGCCTCCTCTGTTTTTCTTCTGTTTTTTTCTTTCCCTTTTTTATTTTTTCACTCCCCCTCCTTCTATTCACCAAAGAACCATTACTTATGTCTGTTTTCATGCCATTGATCGTAATCCTCCACTCCTTTCTTGTATTTCTGGCCATCTGATCAGGGTGGGTACAAGTGACAACTACTCCTTTCTCTAACGTTTTCTCTTTTGTGCTTTTGCTGCAGAGTGCATTGCGGCTAAAGCAAAGGGAAGGGCAGGCGTGAATGGTGTATGAGGCCAGGCTGGATGAGTGAGGTCCTGGCTTTGCAAGAGGAAGGAGACAGTGAACAGCACATTCACCGTTTCAAGCTTTTTTGGTAATTTGTCAAATCAGTCCTAAAATTTCTAACCTTTTTACAATTACAACCTCTGATTTATTTCAATCGTGCCCTTGATTCTTTTTTATTTTTTTCAATTGAACCCATATTAGCTCCTAATTTCAAACTAATTTAATGCAATTATACTCCCGGTTAAACATATCCCCCAATTTTGTATTTTTATATTTTTTGCATTTTTTATTTCTTTTCGTTTTTTTTTTTTCAATAATAGAAGTAAAAAGTAAAAATAATAATAAACAACTAACCAAGTAAAAAAAGAAAATAAATGGTAAAAAAAGGGAAATTTTTGACAAAAATTTTGGGTTGTGACAAGTTCAGCAATCAATTCTGCTGTATATCTTGATTTCTTCCCGAATAATAGTCCTGAAGTTTTACGTCAAAGAACAAACCTGCGCAGAGTCTACTTCAAGTCCAAGTCGGACTATGCGAAAGAACCGATATCTGAAAAGGCACTTGAAGGTTTATCGAAAAAGTTTTATGAAGTATAAAGACCTCTTGTGGTATTACTCCTTACGGTGGAATGATGAGCAAAATTTCAGAATCTCATCGTCCTTTCCCTCACAGAAGAGTTACCGAGTTCATGATTTTGTGCACTGCCGGTTGGAAAGATGCAAAAGAAAATGTTGCAAAGCATATAGCTTGTACTAGGGAAGTATACAAGTACATGACAACTTATGTTTCCAAGAATCCAAGGGAAGCATATGTCAACTGCAGGACCTTGATTTTGGGATGAACAAGAAGTCTAACACAAGCTATACTGAAGCAAGTGGTTTTGGTACTATGGTCTTGTTTGGTTATTAAGCATAAAAATACAAAAATCATAATGAAAATTAAAAAATCAAAATGATATGTATATTTTTATACCGTGCTTGAACTACTAATGAGGAATCATAATACAATTTAATTTTTTTAATATCTTGTTTTTTATATAAATAAAAATAATGATTATAAAAAATAATTTTATTTAACTATAATGATTGTAAAAATAATACAAGTGATGGTGGTGATGATTATTGTAGTGGTGGATGTGCTTATGGTGATAGCGATGACGATGATAATTATTATGGTGGTGGTTGCGATGGTAGTGGTGGTTATTCTTGTTGTTGTTGTGGCAGTAATAATGATGGTGGTGAAGATGATTATGATGACAAAAATAATTGATAAATAATAAATAAATAAAATATATTATTATTTTGAAAAAAATTTTATTGTCATTTCTTACTTTTATTTTCACATTTTAAATAGGAATGAAGTTGTATGTAATTTTTAATCTTATTTACGCTCTTCATTCTCAATATTATTTTATTTTTTTCAACCAAATAATTATAACGTAAGAATAAAATTTTTATTTCTATTTTTATAACTTTATTTTTAATTATCAAACGATATTTTAAGTATTTCGAAGATAACTATTACGTATTGGTTCATGTGAAGACTAAAGTTGACCGTAACAATTTCTCCGCATGAACAGAGCATCCTACGTCTTCCCTTTCACATGACGTGAAGAAATTGAAGAGGAGTTCATGTGTCTTGATCGAAGTGCCAACTATTTTTTTTTTTTTAAATACTTCCGGTAAATAAAGAAGTCTCAGATAGTTTCCCCCACTGGAGCTACGTACAAGTTAACCCTGGAATCGGGCTACAAAAAGGTTGACCATGAAATTGAGCTAGAAACGTTTGACCCTTAAATTGAGCTTGATACAGTTGACTCTGAAATTGAGCTACATACAGTTCACCCTGAAATTGAGCTACAAAAAGTTGACTGGGAAATTGGGCTCATCCTAACATTATCTTAGATGCTAAAAAAACGAATAATGGGCCAGAAAAATTAACAACAAGTTGAACATATAGAGTATAAACCACAAAAAGAGCTAGGATAAAAGTTTAGTGTTACCAATTTTATTGATATCACTAATCACATGGGTGTAACTACCCACCTTCTTCCTAATTGTTAGAAAGTAAGCCTATGTAATTATTTTATGCAAGCCTTTACTAAGATGAATTTGTAACAAAAAGGAAAAAAAATAATTGCAAAACAGTTTATCTTCCAGACTCGTAGGTAGATGTACTATTATTAGTTCTAATGATGTTTTTGGTGTCCTATTTTGGAAACAAAATAAATTAAATAATTTGTAGTTGATTTGAGAATTCTTGATAGGAAGAGTTCATGACCTACTTAAGCTAGTTGGACTGTAGGGTTGTAAGGATAATAATTGGTAACAATAGTAAATCTTCATTCAGAACAGGCTGCAAATCTTGTTCATGATGTCCCTACTGAAGAAAGGTAACTTTCGTCTTATTAGGTAGTGGATTTTATAAGGCAGCTTGGAATAGTTGGAAGTGAGATTAGTGAGGGGATTCAAGAATTTTTCAGAAATGGTTTGCTTATGAAAGAAATTAACTCAGCCGATATTAGTCTAATCCTGTAGAAAAGCATTTTTATTGTAGAGGAAAAAAACTATGAAATAATCTATTATAATTAAGAAATTAATACGGTTACTCAAGTTTCTTCAAAAACTTGAGAAAAAAAAATTGATAATAATATAAATTATCTTTATAATTAAATTTGTCTTATCACAAAAATCTAGAATCTACGAAATTTGTGACTGCAATATAACAAAACTCAATTCTAGAGAAAATTGCAACATTTTAAGCATAAAAAATCATTTTTTTTTTTTTGTTATAGCATTCCAATAAAAAACAAAGAGAAATTTCTCTATTTTGTTTTTTTCTCTTTGTTTCCTCTCTTTCTCACGGGAACTGTCTAAAGAAGGCTAAAGAAAAACCAATTTCTTATATATAAATATATCGGCTAAAAACAAAACTTTTTATTTCTTTACATGCCACACACATGCACAATCATAGCCTTTTGTCCTTTTTTTTTTTTTTTTCAAATTTAGTAGTCTTTTTTCCTAATTAATTTCTTTATGTGTTATGGTAAAATCATTCATAGACTGAACCTTTAGTATGCGCCCAATAATTCCTAAAATGGAGAACCATAGGAAAATATCAGAATTCAGACCAATATCTTGCTGTAACACTTTATACAAGCGTATTTCAAAAAAAAAAAAAAAAAAAAAAAAAAAAAGGAGGAGGAAGAAAACCTAAGCAGCAATTGTCTCCCGCATCTCATTAGCTCAAATTAAACATCCTTTGTAGAGGAAGGGAGTATTGCTGACAATGTTCTCTTGGCTCATGAATTCGTGAGAAATTATCATAGATTTGGTGTTTAGATCAAATTTCGACTCCGTTGATTGGAGTTTCTTGATCTATGTCTTGAGAGCCATGCACTTCCCAGAAAAGCTATCAGCTGGATTTTCTTTTGCATCTCTACTGCTAAATTTTCTATAATATCAACAGCTCTTTATGTGGTTACTTTTCTGGAGGTAAAGGCTTTGCGGCAAGGTGATTCTATATCACCCTATCTTTTTGTTATTGTTATTGAAGTTCTTCAATAATAATTTCTGATCAGGTTTTAGAGAATAATATAAAAATATTTATAATATCTTATTTAAATGTTTAAATTTATAGATTAAGATGGTTATATGATATCAAAATGTTAGTAACCAAACCATCATAAGTTTGAATCTCACTATCCTTTTTTTCTCGCTTCCCCTTCTATTTCTTTTAATTAAAATTAAATAACTAACACAAATAGGTATATGCAAGTTTCAAATAGCTTTTATATAAGAAAATGTGTTAAAAAAATGATATAAAACTACTTAATTAGTCAATTTAAATTTTTGAATTGAGACTTTTTTTTTTTTTTTTTTGACAACAGAAAGGCTCCCTTACAACTCTAAATGCTCTGTCGTGATTATTACA